GAGTTGACTGGGACAAAGAACTGAGACAAGCCAGAGGTCAGGGGCACATTGAGTAGGCCCTTGAAGGCTTATGAGCCAAGTCTTGGTTTATACTGAGAGCAGTAGGGAAACCATGGAAGGCTGGTGAGCTGCAAAGGGGCCACAACCTACTTTGCAGCTGTGTGTGTGTACATGTGTCTGTTAATGAACATCTGAATTTGATTACTTTTAGACTTTATAGGAAGTTACAAAGGCAGTGAAGACAGACCTGTCCCCTCCCCATCACTGGCATCCCATGTTACCTTGGTCCATTTGTCAAATGGAGATGCTGCACTGGGGTGCTGCTCCCAGCGAAGCTGCAGATCAATCCCACAGGGCCTTTCCCTACCTTGCACTCTGTTTCAGTTCAGATGCTCTCGGTGGGGCCGGGGTGTGGCTCCCACTGAGCACTTGCCCGACAGGCCCAAGACTGTGCCCAGCACAGCAAAACAGAAGAAAAAAGCTCCTATTAGCTACCATGGGATAGTGAGTGCTGGGCTCTCCAGAGCTATTAACCCACAGTCTGCCTACTCCAGAGCAGTTGTGAGCCCTCCAGTGTGAACCTCGGGCAGTAAGGTTCCTTCTCCCCCAGGCCAGAGCACCTGGAAGAGCTGCTGCCTTTTGCGGGGCTTAGGGCATTCAGAGATGTCTTGTCCTCTGTTGCCACCTGCAGAGTTGCTGAGGTCTGGTGGGGTCTGTGGGCAGGATGCCAAGTGAGGGGCTCACTGGAACCCCCCCCCCCACAGCTGGCTTCCTGGGGAGAGAAGAACCATATTCAGCAGCAGTTACTGCCGGAGTGAAATCGATAGGGCAGAGTTTTAATGGCGGGTGGGCAGAGCGGAGTTTGGCCCCAGGAGGCAGCCAGCTCTGTGGGGAGGGGCCGCTGCTTTTAGAGAAGAGCTGAAATCAGTGGCCACTGTATATCCCACTTTAGAGAAGGATAAATTGAGGCACCTACAGGAACCAGAGGTAGTTGTTAAGGTTTTGTCTGGGACCAAATACCTACCTGCCCTCACACACACACACACACACACACACACACACACACACACACACACACAGAGTAGGCCTGCTAGTCACTTTGCTTGGAAAGGAAGCAGATGAATACAGTCATTCACACTTTATTCAAAGTTAGTTTCCCCTCTATAAACACTCTCCCCAGAGCACCCTGATGGGACTCATATATGCTATCAGGATAAATGAAAGTCCTTGCTAGCATAGTGCTACCACAGCAGAAGGTGTGTGTGTGTGTGTGTGTGTGTGTGTGTGTGGTGTGCAGTGTGCATATGAGGGCCCGAGGATAACCTTGAGTGTCATTCCTAAGGTACCATCCATTTTTTTCTTTTTCCTTACTTATTTTTATTTTATGTGCATATTGTGAGCGCTTGGCTTATCATGTGCACCATGTGCATGCAATGCCTGCAGAGGCCAGAAGAGGGCATTAGATCTCCTGGAACTGAAATTACCAGACACCAAGTGGGTGCTGGGAACTGAACCTGGGTCCTCTGCAAGAGCAGCCAGCACTCAACTGCTGAGCCACCTCTCCAGCCTGCTTTTCTTTATTTTGAGACAGAGTCTCACTGGCCTCACCAAGTAGGCTAAGCTGGCTGGCCTGTGAGCCAAGGGGAGCCACCTGTCTCTGGCTTCCCAGTACTGGGACTACAAGTCTGTGCCACCACATTTGACTTTTTTTTTTTTTTAACATGGGTTCTGGGGACTGAACTCAGAGCTTCCTGCTTGCTGGGCAAGGACTTTTCCATCTGAGCCATCTCTCCAACCCAGGACTTAATTTTTAAAGCCTCATCTTGAAGACTGGTTAGAAAACCCGCAGCTTGGCCACACCTGGAGAGGGAACATGGGTGGAAATGGGACTGAGGTGTCAGGGTAAGAACCTGGCTTCAAAGTCTTGGCAGACAGAGATGCAGGACAATGGCAGATAGAGAAAGTGGGGCACATAGGGCAGTGTGGTTGGCGCAGAGGGTATATAGAAGACAGAACTGAGTCCAGGGCCTAGAGCAGGCAGGCTGGAATTCCAAGGCTTCTATGCCCTTGAGGACAGTAGGAACCAGGGCTGCAACTCAGGAAGAGGGTGTGCCGTGCCCCATAGAGCTAGGTGCTGGGGTGGTCCGGGCCTCTGTGAAATAGGGTTCTGGGGAGGAATTCCAGGCCATGGGGCCTGTGCCCCAACACTAAGTTCAGGTCACCTCAGCTGTGTATCCCCAGCTCTGCTTCCACCTGAATCACTCAGCCTGAGATGTCCCTGGTCCAGGCAGGCAGTGTCCTTCCCTGTACAAATCATTCCCAGCCCCTGATGATGCTCACTTCTCCTTTAAAAAAAAGAAAAAGAAAAAACTCTTTTTTTTTTTAAGATTTTATTTTTAGGATTGGGGGGGAAGGTTAGAGGAAAGGCTTTTTCGAAAATTCCTTCAGCACAGAATTAATGACTTGTGAACGTCAGGGCGGGCGGCAGGAGCAAGTTCCCAGCCTCTCCCCAGCCTCCCCTCACCATGGCCCACAAATCACCCCCGTATGGTGGCAGCTCTGCCTTTCCCAGGACCCCCACCCCGCTCAGCAGAGAACCCCAAAGCTGTCTTTGGGGTCTCCCAGAGCTCAGGCCCACAGCAGGGGCTTACAATTTTAATTTAAAAACAACTTCTTCAATGACACAAGTAATCTGTATTCAGTGGAGAAAAGTTATATAACTTGGAGGAGCTGCATTCTCAGTGGGATAGGAGAGTGTCCACTGTCCCCCTTCACTGCGACCCTGGTGGCTGAGGAGGAGTTCAGCCTAGGGGACAGTTCAGCACCCACACCCAGGATCATCCCCCACTGGGACACACCCAGGACAAGGCAGGCGGGTTGGGGACAGGAAGTACAGAAGTCAGAATCTGTCGTGTTGTTTCCACGGTTTCACTCACTCTCAGTAAGCTAAGGTCCAAGAATATTAAATGGAAAATTCCAGAAATAAGCAATTCATAAGTTTGAATTTCTCACCATTGTACTATGATGAAGTCTTATGCAGTTCCACTCCACCCCTGCCCAGGATCTGATCCTGAGTGCTGTGCAATGTTTTCATGCTGTGTAAGCTACCCACATAGGAGTCACTCAGCAGCCATCATGGTTAGAGTCTACTGTCCCTGTATGCCAGGGCTATGTTCAAATGACCCTTATCTTCCTTAAAGTGGAAGCTCATGATGATGGCAGTTTGGACACATCACAGAGAGGTACCTGCTTTAAGTGAAGCAGTGAACACTCTTGCCTTGAGGCTGCCATGGTCTGTGGTACAGTTAGACTCTGTGAGCAAGAGCCCACACTCACCTCACTTTTATTACAGTATTCTGTTATAACTGTCCCATTGTTGATCTTACTATGATGGAATGATCACAGGTACACACAAGATTAAATTGTATATGTAGGGCTAGGTCCTGTCCCTGGTTTGTCATATTCCCTGGCAACCTTGGGACATGCCTTTGTTTGTGGATGAGGAGAGGATGTGCTACACAAATATGGTGAAGGCTCCGAGGCAGGACCATCTCAGGATGCTTGAGGAACAGACACAGGCTGGGTGGCTGGAGTGGAGCTGTGAGGGCACAGAAGCCTGGGGTCAGAGGTTCTGGGCTGATGCAGGTGAGGCCTCAACTCTGGAGCGGGCAGCTGTCCCAGGACTTTGTTTTACAACAGTGCTAAGGATGGAACCCAAGGCCTTCTGTGTGCCAGGCGAATGTTCTATCACTGAGGCCCATCTCAGTCTCCATTTCTACATGCATGCACATGCTTCAGAGGACAACCTTGGGTACCATTCTTCAGGCACCATCCACTTTTTCTTTAAATTACTTTATTTATTATTGTGTGTGTGGTGTGTGCAAGCACATGAGAACACAAGTGGAACGCAAGTGCCAGGATGTGCATCTGAAGGTCAGAAGACAGCTGGCAGGAGTAGGTTCCCCTCCACCTCATTTGAGGCAGTGTCCTTTTTCTTTGCTGCAATGTTTTTGTGAGCTTTGAGGCAATGCGCCTGTGTCTGCCTTGCATCTCACCTGAGTCCTTACAGGTACACACTACGCATCTTGCTTTAAAATTAAAATTTTTTTATGTGCATGAATATATTGCCTGCAGTGCACACATGCATGCCTTGCACACAGGCCAGAAAAGGGCATTGGATTCCCTGGAACTGGAGTTCTAGGAACCAAACCCAGGTCCTCTGCAAGAGCAGCCACTGATCCATCTCTCCAGTCCTGCATCTGGCTTCCTATGTGGGTTCAGGGGACAAACTTGGGTCATCAGATTGTGCAGCAAGCACTTGTACCTATGGAGACAGTTCACAGCCCCCAGCCACCTGTTTTTGAGACAGAGGCTTTCACTGGACTGGAACTCACTGAGTGGCCCATGCTGCCTGGTTAGTGAACCCCAGGGTTCCATTTGTCTCTGCCTTAGCAATACTGGGATTACAGGCATGCATTACTACACCTGGCTTTTTGTTGTTGTTGTTTTAATGCTAGTTCTGAGCTCAAACTCAGGGCTTCATCCTCATGCTGCAAGCACTTTATCAACTGAGCTACACCCCAACCCTCAAATTGTTACAGCATTAGCAATAGTGTGTGACTCTCAGTGGTGCTTGCTAACACTATCCCAGCACCAGCTGAGGGCCTTGCCCTGTGCAAGCTAGATCTAGCACTGTTCTCTGGAGGAGGAGCCCATTTTATAGCTGAGTAAACTGAGGCTTAGAGAACACAAAGCAATATGCCCAGGTTACCTACAGCCATCTCCTAGACACCATTTGCTTGTGCGTTTTGGCCCAGGGCACCTCAGCGACACCCTTGTGTACTAGCAGGCCTGGTAAGTAGAATCAGGGAAATCTGTATAAGCTTGGGCCTCAGCTTGGAACTGAGGTATGGAGCTGAGAGCTGAGATCAGGCTTCATGGACTGTTAGGGAGCCAGACAAGGCTCTAAAACTAAGGTTTGACCTGTCTTGCCTCCACAGCTGCAGATGGAGCAGCTGGATTGTGGCGCAGCTCACCTGCAGCACCCACTGTCCATCCTGCAGCCACTGAGGGCCTCACCCGTGTTCCGTGCCCCAGGGCTCACAGCTGTGGCCGTGGCCAATGCCAACAACTACACTGCCGTCTTCCTGGGCACCTCGACGGGAAGACTCCTCAAGGTAGGGGTACAAGATGGGAGCTCCCAAGGGGTGGATGGAGCAAGGGTCAGTGTTACTCCTCCTCTTCTGCTTTTCCTCCATGGCTCCACAGTGGTCCATCATGGAGGAGAAGGGCCTGCCTGAGAGATGTCAGCATCTCCAAGGCTAGGGTCTGTATTCAAGTCTCCAAACTCTGCTGTCTAGTGGCTGATTGACCCTGACAATGTGCACAGTTTCTCTGGGCCTCGGTTTCTCTATCTGTCACAGACCATCTGTGCTGGCCACTGCCCTGCTGGTCCCAGAGCTTGGGGAAGGCAAGGGGCTGGTTTTCTTACTCCAGGGCAGAACAGACACAGGGAACCGATCCCGCCCACTGCTTTCCCCCCTCCCCGAGGGGAGAATCAGTGCAGAGCCAACTCCATCATGTGCCAGCCTGATTGACTCAGATCCTATAATCCAGTTCCTCTGGTTGGGATGGGGCGGGGCTCTAGTCCCACAGCCCTGGCACGGGACCACCAGGTGGGGGCAGCAGGGACATAGGGATCCAGTGCATGCTCAACTTCCATCAAGGTGGAAGGAAGTAGCCCAAAGGGGCTAGATTTTAGGGTAAGATGCTTAGACTCTGTTTTTGACTGCTGTTCCGTGCTGCGAGACCTGGGGGCAGTGGTTTGTCTCCTTTGAGCCTCCGACTCTCTCCATTGAGAAAAAACGAGTCAGAGCTCACTCCACCCTCTGCCCACAAAGCTGCAGTTACTAGGTACCTGCTGTCTCCCCAGTGCTACACATCATGGGCACCCTGTCTATTATTTTTCACATGGAGCTAGGGAGGCAGAGCCTCAATTCCATTCCACAGAGGGGTTACCAAAGTCCTGCAAAGGAGGTGACTGCCCTAGAGTAACATAGCCAGAGATGGGGTGGTTGCATTTCATTTTTAATGTGTTTATGTGTGGTATGCTAAGGTGGAACCCGGGGCCTCACACTTGCTAGAGGCTAACCTTGGGTTTAGCTGGTCCCTCTTCACCCTACACCTTGGCCTCAAAAGTTTACTCATCCCCCTGCACAGGACATTGTCTCTCCTGACAACCCTTGCTTAGAACTTCCATCTCATTCCCCAGCCCAGACCCTGGGCTCAGTAAACACTGAAGGAGGGAAATGAAGTAGAGTCTGCTGCTGCTGGTTGTGTGTGTGTGTGTGTGTGTGTGTGTGTGTGTGTGTGAGAGAGAGAGAGAGAGAGAGAGAGAGAGAGAGAGAGAGAGAGACTTGAGTCCCTGCTAGGCTCCCAAGAGGCCTCCTCGGCAGTAGGGACATCTCAGCAGCTGAGACCAACCCTGGGGGCTCTAGGAAGCTGCATTGTTGACTTGGTGCCCCTGGAAGGAGGATGGGGAGACTCAGGATGCACACAGCAGAGAGAGGCCTAGGTGGGACTTGTGAGAGGATTAAACAAAGTGAAAATGAGGCTGGGGGCATGGCCAGAAGGATCGATCAGCATGGCCTTGAATGCCATAGTAAGTTTCTTCTATAAGCAGCAAGGAGCCAATGCACGTTTTAAAGTGGACAGGAAATCCCAGAGGTGTTGAGACCGCTGGCCCTCACTGGACCTTGGAGCCCAAGCAGCATGCTGGGAGAGGAGGGGACAGGTACAGTGGGACATTGCCAATCCTTAGGGGGATGTGTAGAGGGGCCTCAGAGCCAGAGAAGCTTCCAGGCCTCAGGAGTCCTGGAACCTTGCCCCACCTGCGCCATCTCCTGGCCTTTGCTTCAGCTCTGGAGTCTGACAGGCTTGGGTCTGCATCATGAGATAACTTGATTTCTTTCTTTCTTTTTTTTTTTTTTTAACTTTTTAAAAAATTTCTATTTATTATTTTTATTTTATGTGTATGCTTGTATTGCCTGCATGTAGGTAAGTGCTCCCATGTCATGCAAAGCCCACTGAGGTCAGATCCCCTGGAACTGGAGTTATGGACAGTTGTTAGCTGCCATGTGGGTGCTAGGATTCAAACCCAGGTCTTGTGCAAGAACAACCAGTGTTCTTAACTGCTGAGCCATCTCTCCAGCCCGATAACTTGATTTCTTTACCAAGCTCCTCAACCTCTGGGCCTCAGTTTCACTCTCTGTAAGATGGGCTGAGAGGGAATTGATGAGAAGTGACCCAGCAGCTCTGCTCCTGTGTACTTCTTGCCTTGTCACTCATGTCTCAGGCCTGTGGATCAGGTGGCTACCATTTCTCATTCACTGGTGAAGCTGAGGCTCAGGGAAGGGAAACAATGTGTATTAGATAGTACATTGCAACTTATAAATGTACCAGAATTCAAGCTTTGTTTATAAGACAGGACACCCATCACCCTCCTAGGGCTTCCTCTCTGGCCCTGGACCAACTGGAGCTGAAAGGGAGCAGAGACCTCAAGCCTTGGACAGCCTACCCTATGGGTGGTACCTCCGGGACCAGCAGCTGACAGCTGTTCCCCCCACAGATCAGCCTGAATGAAAGCATGCAGGTGGTAAGCAGGAGAGTACTGACAGTGGCCTATGGGGAGCCTGTGCACCATGTGATGGAGTTTGACCCCACAGACCCTGGTTACCTGTATCTGATGACATCCTACCAGGTAAGGAGAGCCACAGCCAGCCAGTTCTGGAACAGGACCTTTGCACATGCTGATCCTCCTGCTGAGGGACCGCTTTCCCTCCCCCCACCTCTGCCTCCATTCTTCCCCATGTGCCCCCAACTAGGCCTCCAGCCTCAGTTTCCTTGGCCTCCTGAGGGAGGGGTGGCTGCCTCACTCAGTCGGGTCCCCTCTGCCTGCAGATGGCCCGTGTAAAGGTTGCGGCTTGTGAGGTACACCCCACCTGTGGGGACTGTGTAGGTGCAGCCGATGCCTACTGTGGCTGGTGTGCTCTGGAGACACGGTGAGTCCCCTGTGGTGGAGGCAGGGACCAGAGGGATTTGGGCAGTGGGCCCTGACCTAGCCTGACCCCACCATGCCTGCAGGTGCACACTTCAGCAGGACTGTGCCAACTCTAGCCAGCCGCATTTCTGGACAAGTGCCAGTGAGGGCCCTGGCCGCTGCCCTGCCATGGCTGTGCTACCAGCTGAGATTGACGTACATCAGGACTACCCGGTGAGTTGGGCCATGCCAGCTGGGAGCCTGGAAGTGACAATGTCCTGAAGGCCCTGGTCACACATGGGACTGTCCACCCTGAATGCTAGTGGGGTCACAGGCCACTGCTGGCTTTTAAGTTGAGGGGTCTGTGCACTGAGTAGGGGCACAAGGTGGAGAGCAAGTCCCCTCTGTCTTCTCTTGGGGCTGCCAGCCATTGCTTGTCTCCAGACGTAGGTGGTGGACAGTTGCTCATGCCCAGGATGCTGTGCCTGCAGCATTGCGGATGAGCTAGGCACCTAGCGATCACAGCAGCAGCCTGGGGCCAGCCCACCCATCCTCACTGACTTCTGAGCACAAGGCCCTCATTTGTCTCCTTGAGGGCTTCCAATGGCCTGGCAAGCCTACTCCCCTGTCATCACACATCAGCCGTGACCTGGACTCATCCTGGGCAGCCTGGAGTAGACAGGTCCATTCATCCACTCTTCCATTCACATTGTATTGAGTACCTGTTGTATGCCATGCACACTCTCACACTCTGGGGACTCAGCAGTAAGCAAGATGAAGTCTTGGCCTGGGATGAGCCAACCTTCTCCTGGAGGAAAAGATTAAGACAAAATATGGATGTGTGCAGAACAGAGCAGGGTGGGGGCATGAGGGTGGGCAGTTTAATGGCTGCAGTCTTGCACTAGATAAATCTGACCTCAAGCCTATGGCAATCCTGCCTCAGTTTCCTGAGTGCTGGGATTATAAGTGTATGCCACAACACCTGGATTACAGAGCCTTCTGGACCAACCTCTGTGAGATGAGATGGGGAAACTGAGGCTCAAAGGGTTACATGGGGGGTGCAGCCCTCTGGCTTTGGATTCCTGCAAGGGAACCCCTTCTTTACTAATCACTTGGGCAGGACCAGACAGGTCTCCCTGTCCTTGCTGAGAGGGCTGTGAAGGGAGTGGCTTGTGCCCCACTTAAGGGCACCTCTCCCCCAGGGCATGATCCTGCAGATCTCAGGCAGCCTGCCCAGCCTCAGTGGCATGGAGATGACTTGTGACTATGGGAATGATGTCCGTACAGTGGCCCGGGTGCCTGGCCCTGCCTATGATCACCAGATCACCTACTGCAACCTCCTGCCCAGGGACCAGTTTCCACCCTTCCCTGTTGACCAGGGTGAGTGCCTGGCTGTGATGCCAGCCCAAGGGTGGGGCAGCAGGGACCCCCAACTTTCCAGCATCAGATGTTACTGGAAACCCCCTTTCCCGTCCTGATCCTTTCTAGACCATGTGACGGTTGAGATGTCTGTGAGGGTCAAAGGACACAACATTGTCTCAGCCAATTTCACCATCTACAACTGTAGCCGCATAGGACAAGTGTACCCACACACAGCGTAAGTGGAAAGTGGCGGGGAAGAATGGGCCCCAGGAAGGGGCAGGGGACTCTCTGGAGAACAGCTACAGACTCTGGCACACGTAGCAGTCAGGACTCTCCATCCTTCACCTGCCCTGTAGCAAGCTCTAACCAGCCAGGCCTCTGGAAACTGACACCTAGGCTGAAAGAAGCAGAGAACTCCCTGCCTGTTTCCTCTTTGCTTGCCTCTCATAGCTGGGAGTTCAGTACTTTACAAGATGTCCCACCTGTCCCAGGTAGCTCTGAGCATGAACAAGACCTTTCCTAGTGCTGAGATAACTCTCTGGAGCCCAGTTTCCAGGGCAGGGTGAGCTGAGGGTGGGAAGCAAGAGTCTGAGGGGCCTCCTCATCTTCCAGCTGCACCAGCTGCCTGTCAGCACAGTGGCCCTGTTTCTGGTGTACACAGCAGCACGCCTGCATCTCCAACCAGTCTCGGTGCGAGGCCTCACCGAACCCCATGGTAAGCCTGCCTTGGAGACACGCCCCGTGGCTTCAGTGGCCATTTCTTATTTTAAATTGACAGTATTGAGAGCATTTCTTTGATATTTGTCTTTGTTAGCATTGGTGCTGATGGCCAAGTGTGGCTCATGACAGTGTGTTTAACCTTGTAACTTGACAAGCTGATGACTGCTTTTTCCCCTTTTGTGTTTGAATCTAGCTGAGCCACTGTGGGCACACATTGCTTGTTACTCGCTGAAAGACTTTTTTTGAGACAGGGTCTCACTGTAGCTCTAGCTGCCTGGAACTTGCTATGTAGACCAGACTGGCCTCGATCTCACAGAGAATCGCCTGCCTCTGCCTCCTGAGTGCTAGGATTAAAGATATATATATATATATATGGCCATGCCTGGCCCTGAAGGCCAGTTTTTAGAAGGGACATTTTGGGGTGGCAGTGCGGCCCTCCAGGGAACCTGGCCTAGGTTGTACCCACCCTGCACTGGGTGGGCAGCTTCCATCCGTGGCCAATGCTGGGAGTGGCTCATTTCGTTGTGTTTTCAGCTCCTTAGGCGGCCACCTGGGAGGCAGCAGACTTGAGCCTTGAACCCAAACCCCTCTTCTTTTCCTGAAGATTTCCAACTGGGCACAAAGACCCCTTCTTGGTTTCCCCATGGCACCTCACCTTTGCCCTGGAAGGCTTCTCCTTGGGGAGGACAGATGGGCGTCCCAGGATCCTGGCTGGGTGGAAACAGTATGTTGAGCTTGGGCACACCCTTTCTCTGAACTTTATTAGGGCTCATGGCCCCTAGTGCCCTGCAAGAACAGGCTGCTGGGCTGCCAGTTGTAGGTCCCAGGATGGCAACCCAGCCACAGGGCCTGGGCTTATAGAATTCCATCAAACCCTGTCTGCCATGGCAGAAGCCATGGAACAGCTACAAAGGAGGGGATTCCAGGGCCTCAGGCTGGCTTTGAACAGTCAACCACAGCCATACTCAGCTCAGAGGGAAACTGTGGAGCAAGTGCCCTGCACCAAGAGGCCCAGGACCCTATGGCTGTACTGAGGGAGCCTCCTGCTGTGGCACTGGGTATGCGGATACAGTCTAAGTCCAGTTGGGCCTATGGCTCTAGGGTCAGAGACACCTGGGTCACTGCTCTTTCTCCCTCTCCACCCCAGCCCTGTACACAGCTGGGGCTTTGGGAATGCTGGAGGTTGAAAGTATCCACTATACCTATCTTTTGTGTTCTAACCCTGAAGGACAAGCAGCCAGGAGGACTCAGCCTTTTGACAGTCCATCAGTAATGAGTGCCTTTTGTATACCTGAGTCTGTGCTAAGCACTGGGGAGAATCCAGTTAGATCTAGTTCTGTCCTTCCCATTACAGGCCAAGACCCTTAACTCTGACTTGTGGTTGTGTGATCCCAGGCAAGCTACTGGCCCTTTCTATGCCTTTCTCCCTCTATGAAGTGACGCCCACCTCCAGGGCTGGAGTAGAAATCTGGAATTACCCCAGGAAAGCACCAACTGTATATGTACTTGGCACATAGGTCATTTTGAGGAGTTGATGGCTACTCTGTACAGGTGACCAGGAAAGATATCTCTCAAGAGGGGACTTTTGTGTAGGGTCTTGACAGCTGCATAGGAGTTCACCACCTGGGAAGCATGTCTCTGTGGCGCCCTTCAGTCTGCTCTCCCTAGGTCTGCAGTTTTCTCTCAGGGCAGGCTCCCGTAGGCCTAGAAGGACTGTCATAGAGGATTACTATAATGGGGCAGGAGAAGAGGCAGCTTTGCAGAGGCCTGCAAGAGGCTCTGACCCATTGCTTGATTTGGCATTTAATTAAGTACCAGTTAGCTATGGAGGCGCCAGGCATCCTGGGCAGATGGCGGGTAGAGGGTCTGCATGTCCCCCGGGACCCCTGACTCCTGGAAGGGAGGTGCTGGGAGTTGCATCTCTAGTCATGTGTGTGGTCCCAGTGACTACCCCACCCCCACCCACCCACAGGAAGATAGTGAAGGAGGCTGCCAGGCGGTGGCTTCAGCCTGTGGATGAGGGGCCAGAGAGGTGCCAGGTGTCCCAGAGCTAGCATGCCCATCCTGAGGGCTGCTTTCCCTGGGCAGAGTGATGTCAAACCTTGGAAGCAGGCTGGGAAGTAAGTGGTGACTGGCTCAGCCTGGCGTGATCCCAACCATGGAGTGACCCGGTGCTACAGCCAGTGGCAGAATGGCTTGATGGGTAGTAGGAGCTGTTAGGAACTGTGGACTGTGACTCAGAGACAACAGGCTGGGGTTCGGGGCGGGTGTGGGCCCATTAGAGCTTACTGGATTGGGACATCAGGACTCACTTCTCCTTGAACTTGAGGATACTGCAGAAGTCCTGGGTGCTCTCACAGCCCTGCTTTCCAGATGGCACATTTGGGATGCTGGTCACTTACCCAGCTTTGCTCCCAGGTATTGGTGGTCCTGCAGGATCCAGCCAGGGCAGGCTGTGAGCACACCTGGATGATGGAGCCTCCTGACCTCTCTCCTATCTACTTGACCCTGCCCTAGGTACAACTGGGCCAGTAAATGCCTCAGAAGGCATCTGAGGCCATGTTCTCCACAGGAAAAGCCAACCCAGACCTGGCTTTCAGTCCTTCAAGTGATCAGACTGAGGGCTGGTTCACCTTTAGGAATGATTGGATCCAGGGGTCCACTGGTGACATCAGGGCCTTCCAACCCTGTGGGAGATGCTCAGACAGGCTTCCCTCGGACCTTCTTAGTGATAAGGTAGTCTCTGCAGCTGGGCCTGACTGTGGATCCCTCCTTCCCAGGCTTGGGAAATCTGAGAGTCCTTTCATTGATTCCCCAAGCGTCCTAGTGTTGAGACAGGCAGGTTGCAGGGCTCAGATTTGCTGACTAGACATATCTCTGAAGCTAGGGTGGGCTTGGGGAGCAGAGTCAGTTGCCTAATCATGAACCTGTTGTGGGCCAGCTCCTCAAAGGCCAGATCAGACTTAGGGCAAACAGTAGAGGCTGGGAAGCCACTGGTGGACACAGCCGCTGGCCCCATGGCAGCTTAGCAGACCTTGGGGAGCATCAGAGTGGTATGACAAGGTCAGGACTCAGTCTGACTTCTCCTTTGTAGAGTGGATCTACTCATCTTCATGGCCTGGGGTATAAGCAGTCAAAGGGGAACAGGGGGTCCTCAGAGTGACCCCACAGAGTCACTATGAGGCCCTTGATCATTTGTGGGGTGGATCCAGAGGATAGACACTGGGCCTTTCTTCCATTTCTTGAAATTTCCCAGAGTTTACACATAGCACAGCCAAATTCTTAAGGGTACCTGGGGTGGCCTGTCCAGGGACTTTGCCTGGAAAAGCCTTGTTACATGGGTGAAAACTAAAGCCAAGACAGGGATAGAAACCCAGTGCTGTTGAGGCCAGCTGGATGTATTCCCCACCCCAGCTACAGGGGTCAGTGGGACACCTCATCCCTGGACTGAGTTGCCTTAAAGGCCTAGGCCCTGCAGCATATGCTGTCCCTGGGAAGTCACCATTCTGGCCTCGTGCTCAGCAAACAATCTGGATGTCCAGAGTTCCACTAGGAAAGTGCTTTGCTCCCCTGTGCCTCGGTTTCCCTTTAGGTGAACAGGTGATGATAGATCCTACTTCAGAAGGCCATGGGAATGGAGCTAGTGGCTAGAAGGACCCTGTCACACAGTGAGGCCACCCAAGCTTGCTTCTGCCTAGACCGTTGCTCTTGGTGGTTGGTTATTGGTGGTCTTGGCAGACCTTCTGGGTCTGACTTGGTGCTGGGGTCCCAAGGGAAATCTGTACCTGTCCTACCCCTGTATGGTTGGGAATTAAGAGTAACGTAGGGTATCCCACGGCTACAGAGGATGCCAGTCCTGCAAAGAAGAAAAAAGAAAATTGCCAGGCATCGTGACTGCCCTCCTGTAATACCAGCACTAGAGAGGCTGAAGCAGGATGGCAATTTGTAAGGCCTACCTGGCCCACATGGCAAGCATACACCTGTGACCCCATGACTAGAGGCCATCCTGCCTGAGCAACATAGAGTCCGTCTCCAAAAAAAAAAAAAAAAAAAAAAAGAACAGAGGAAAAAGTAGTCCAGGATAGGGTCTTGGTCCCCAGGGGCCTTGGCTCATATGGGTAACCTTATGTGCACTCATAGGCTCATGGCACATCTTGGCACTATTCTAACCCTAATCCTTGCCCTTCCAGACATGGGCAGGAGTGTGGCTGCCTGTGTGGCTGTCCCAGGGCCCTACGACCTTCTGCTCTAGTAGGTCATACACTGAGAAAATAGGGCTTGGAGGCCTTGGGGCAGTCAGGATCCCCCAGTACCCTGCTCAGAGAGATGTGGAGAGGTGACAGCCACAGCCACAGCCCTCGGTGCCCCTCCCCTGCTTTGGTTTCTTCTGGGCAGTGGAGTGTGGACCCCAAGAGCCTGCAGGGGCAGTTACTAGCCCCAGCCTGGTGCAGTGTCATCTGGATGGAGATTATGAATGTCAGAAACCCCAGCCACTGCAGGCTCACCCCCTGAGGAGCATTTCCAAGGGGGTGGACCATTTTGCTGCTGCCTCAGGATTTCCTCATTTGTAAACTGGGGCTGCAGGCCTGCCCCAGGGCTGATGTTCAGATCAGATCGGGAGGCTGTTGGCCCTTTGTGGAGGCAGGACCACAGGGGCCTGTGTGACTCTCTCCTGTGCTTGGTCTGCAGAAGCCTCAGGACTGCCCCCAGATCCTGCCCTCGCCCCTGGCACCTGTGCCCACAGGAGGTTCGCAGGACATCCTGGTGCCCCTAACCAGTGCCACTTTATTCCATGTAAGTAGAGGTTGGGCAGGGACTGTGTGGACCTCAGACTATCCCTGCATCTGCAATGGTGACCCTTCTTTTATTTCTTGAGCTCCATTCTGGCTACACAGGACTTGGAGTGGGGAGGCCAGACCATTGGGGATAGCAAGCAGCCAGCAGCTGCTGAGGGAACCCTGGCTCAGGCCCCAGAGCTCCTGCCCTAGAGGCTCCCTGGCAGAGTAGCCCAGCCCCTTGCCTGGTGCCTCAGCCCATGGGTGGATGAGGTCCATGTGGGCTCCGCCTGCCCTGGCCTAGCTGAGCATGACTGTGGGCATCCCAAGGCCTGCGGAGCCTACTGGCCTCCTTCAAGTCTCCCCAGGGACAGCCAGAGGAGAACACGCCCCCCCCAGTTCCATGGTCCAGAGGGGACAGTGGGAAAAGAAGTGGTGTTGGGGGAAGGGATATGGCTGTCCCCAGCCCTCTGGGAGGAGCGTGGCAGGGGGTGTTGACGAAACCTGGAAAGGTACCAATATCCCTAGTTTCTGGGACACACCATCTGTTGCCGCCACGCAGGAGCTGAGGCCCATGAAGGCTCTCACACGTGGGGGCCACGTGCCAAGCATCTGGGATATGTCAGGAGCCTCTTGCAGGATGGGACTTCTTGAGGGCAAGGGCGGGGCTACCTCTTCCCAAAGGCCCACCCTGTGGGTCACGGGAGCCGGGTGGGCAGCTCCAGCCTTAGTTTGCCAGGCTGATTCTCTCCAGCTGTGCAGTGGTTTTGGCCCTCTGCTCTCTCCAGCCACAGAATCCCCACCCCTCTTGTCTTCTGTCTCCCCAGCCTCACCCTGGCCCTGCAACTAAATCACAGGGGGTCAGGACTGGGTGCCTAGATTCTGGGAAGCCCTGTGGCAGGCTATTCTGCCCAAGGTGGCCAGGTGCTCAGAGAGGGGGCCCACCTCCAGCTCTGCACTATGGGGACAGAGCAGGCATTTGGCCCTGTCAGCAACCTCTTTCCTACATTAGCTTCCAGCTGGGGAGGTTGACCTGCTTTCTTCTCAGGGTGTCACATCTGCCAACAGCAGGGATATAAACAGGAAGTCCTGCCACAAGGCTGGCTGGGGGCTTGGCCTGACATGCATGAAACCCAAGTTGTGTTCACTCAGCAAATATTTATTGATGTTGCTCTTGAGGGAGGAAGACAAGACTGGAGAATTAGGCCCAGCTTATTTGTTCAGCAAACATTTATTGACTACCTCCTGCATACCAACCATGGCAAGCACTTATTAGGTACTTGTAGCATGCAAGCCACTAAAACACGGGATCTCTAATTTGCCCAGCAGTTCTATTCCCATTGTTCAGTCAAGAAAACCAAGTCTCAAGAGAGGCAGGGTGACTTGCATAAAGCCACACAGGAAGTAAAGATGGGAATTTAAACTGGGCTTATGTGAGGCAGAACCTGAGCATTTTACCAGCTTTTTGCTGCTCAGCCCTGACTGTCTGCAGAGGGTGAGGACATAAGTAGACAAGCCTGGGTGAGGGAAACTGAGACACTTGACCCACAGGGTAGGGCAGGCTTTGGGAGTGGAAGAGAGTCCCCAGTGCATACCCACCCACTGAGGAGAGCAGGATTGGGGGGGGGGCAGTGTTTTGATCTGAGGGCTTTTGGGGATCCAGGGACACTGCAGCTGGAGTTGGAGGCAGCAGTGAGTTTCACTGATGGTAAAAAGACCAGCTTAGGCAGAGGCCTTGCACATGCCACAGGGAGGCTGACAGAGTATCCGAGGCAGAGGCCAGAAACTTTCAGTCAAGGGACAGGTAGAGTCTCCTTAGAGCTGGGGTATCAAGAACTGGTTTAGGCTATTGGGGATGGTGGGGTGCCATTGGTGTCACAGAGAGCACTGGGCAGGGTCCTCAGTGTCTTTGCATCCCCTGACATGATGGCTAGGAAAGATTTCTGGGGACAAAGACTTGGTGGAGGTCCTAGCCCCTCTTCAGGGTGACAGCTACTGTGTCCTGATGGGGGTGCAGGAGCTGAGTGCTGGTAGCGCTCTCCTCTACCCCTCTGCCTGTGTCTGCAGGGTACCTCCCTTGAGTGCAGCTTTGGGCTGGAGGAGAGCTTCGAGGCTGTATGGGTGAATGAGTCCCTTGTACGCTGCAACCAAGTGGTGGTAAGTGGCATGACTCCAGGGGGGTAGAGGGGAGGCCTGCATAAATCCAGTGCTATGGTCCTGTCCTCCCCACCGGACCTTCCTCTACTTTTTGGCCCCTCATCCCCAACAGCCAAGCCCTCAACTGTCTTGGTGATGCCCTTGCCCTCAGGAGTGACCCAGATCCACCCCACCCATCATCCTTTCCATCACTTTACAGCTTCACACAGCTCAGAAGAGCCAGGTATTTCAACTCAGCCTGCAGTTGAAGGGGCAGCGAGACCGATTCCTGGACAGCCCTGACCCCATGACAGGTGGGTGTCTCACCCACTCCACATGGCCAGAGGGAAGGACCCAGCCTTGGGGGACCCCAGAGCTCACCTCGAAGCCACATACATCTCATCAGTGCCCAACACTCATTCACCCTTGCGCCAACGCTGCTATGTTGCCAACCTCACAGCAAAGCTGTGCAGCTTACAGGACCTTACTTGCCCACTCTGAGCCTCATGTGAAATGAGGCCTCTGGTCCTTACTGAGTGCTTGGTGAGGATTCAGAGAGTAGTGTCCGGGATGGAGTTGGCATCTGGGGAATGGCACAGTACTGAACCAATTCACACACCCCTATCATGAAGTTCACAGAGAGGCACCCAGGCTATCTCCCACACTGAGACCCTCAGCTCCATCTCTCCATACCCCCTAAGGCCTCAAACCTCAGTCTGGGCTACTCAGTTATCTCTACATCCCCCTGCTCATGGGTTAACCACTATATCCCAGGCAAGGAGCTCCTCCTCTGAGCTTTGGCCCTTTGTCTATAAAGTGGGCCACATAGGGACCCTTTGAGGGGAAGGGGTGTTGATGAGTCCAGGGGCCAGACACAGGGCAGCAAGGTGGGGGCTAGCTAAGCCCCAGGAACCTCACAGAGTCCTGACTCCAGAGCTACCTCACCTTGGGCTGACCACACTGCCCTGTGTCCACAGTGGTGGTTTACAACTGTGCCATGGGCAGTCCTGACTGTTCCCAATGCCTCGGCCGTGAGGACCTGGGTCATCTCTGTGCATGGATCGATGGCTGCCGCCTTCGAGGGCCCCTGCAGCCACCACCTGGCACTTGCCCAGCCCCCGAGATCCGTGCAGTAAGTATACACAAGCACACTCTGCACCAGGCATCATCTGCACACACAGCACCCTTGACTCAGAGATTGGGGCATGCGTGGGCCCATGTGCTTGTCACTTGTGAACACACAGTGCTGGCCTCCTGAGTCTGTTATAATGGGGAATGGACTCTGGGAAGTGAGAGACAGAGGAGGCCAGGTTTAGTCCCACGGGGTTTCAAAGTGAGTTAGCAACCCGCTGAGGCTTCCAGCAACTCACCTCATATTTAATTAAGAAGAAAATCTCAGAGAAGGATTATGATTGGCTTAGCCTGATCCAAGTGCCCACCTTCAACCCAATCAGCTTCTGGCTGAGGTGCCAAATTTTGTGGTCAGGCCTGGCCACCTGAGCTGGCCTGGCATCTCCAGACCCTCACGGGATGGAACCATGCATTCACACCTCTATATGGATAGCCCAGAAACCAGCAGCCCTGGACCGCCATCATCTAAGTAGAAGGTTTGGGTACCCCTGCCTCCTGTGGTCACCTGTGGCAGTAGGAAGGACACCCATTCCTCAGACTCCTGCTCTCTTTGCTGCCTTGGCAGATTGAACCTCTGAGTGGCCCCTTGGATGGCGGTACCCTGTTGACCATTCGAGGCAGGAACCTGGGCCGCCGGCTGAGTGATGTGGCTCAAGGCGTGTGGATTGGCAGTGTGGCCTGTGAACCATTGGCCAACAGATACACAGTTTCAGAGGAGTGAGTGACAGGCGGTGCCAACCCAATCCTCCCCCACTACCCCCACCACCATGTGCCCACCTCCCAGCTGGGCCTCACCCCGTCTCTGCCTGGGCCCTTCCTCTCTGTCCTCCCAGGTCCTCACCACCTCCTCCGGGAAGCCTCCAGGGCTCCTCAGTCCAACCCTCTGCCATCAGCGTTATTCTTGCTACTGTAAAATTTTGGGGTGTAAGTCTGGGGGTATGGCAGCTGGATCCAGAAGCCTCTAGGAAATGCCTGTGAGCAGGAAATGAGCTGGGCTTCCTGTATGAAGGTCCTGAGCCAGACTCACAGATAAGGGTATCAGGCAGCCAGCTCAGATCAGCTGGGCAAACAGCCTGGTAATCAAAGACTATCTGATCCCAGCTCTTGTCTCAGAGTTTCAGATCTGGGGAGACATGGGTAGCATGCCCCTACCTTGGCCAGCCCCAGTATGAGTGGGAGGCATGGGTCATAGGCAGACAGGGTGCTGGCTCAACCTCTGCCTACACCCCTGCTCTCAGGATCGTGTGTGCCACGGGGCCAGCCCCAGGGGCCTTCTCAGATGTGGTGACTGTGAATGCCTCCAAGGAGGGCAAGTCACGGGATCGCTTCTCCTATGTGGTAAGGAGTTAGTCCCCTACCGCCCAGCCTGTTTCTCACAGCTGAAGCTAAAGCCTGACCCAGGCCCTCTTCCCTAGATGCCTGTGGTCCATTCCCTGGAGCCTCCCATGGGACCCAAGGCAGGGGGCACCAGGATCACCATCCACGGCAGTGACCTCCATGTGGGCTCCGAGCTCCAGGTCCTGGTGAATGACACAGACCCCTGCACGGAACTTGTGTAAGCTGTGCCCACAGCCTGGCAACTATGGGATGGGTGGCACCTGATCTGGGCCTCACTTGGGTCTGCCATGGTTCTGGCCCTTCTTAGCCTGGAGTGAACCTGGGGAGAAAGGAGAAGGGAAGTGTCTGAGGTAGGCAAAGCCAGAGCTAATGTACAGTGGTGAGAAGGAACTGGGGCCCTCTCCTGTCTCACTGACAGGAGACAAGACTGCCTTGGAAGTAGATGAACATTTGGAAAGGGCCATGCTGATGTCATCTGCCTGTCATCTCCCACAGGCGCACAGCCATGAGCATCACCTGCACTGTGCCCGGGGGCACCTCGCCCTCCCTGGTGCCTGTGTGTGTGCGCTTTGAGCGCCAAAACTGTGTGCATGGGAACCTCACCTTCCAGTACATGCAGAATCCGGTCATCACAGCCATCAGCCCTGGCCGGAGCCCCGTCAGGTGAGACCCAGACCTGCCAATGCTCCCTTTGGCTCACTATCCAGGCCACAGGTGGCCTGATTGCTCTTGCTGTCCCCTCAGTGGCGGCAGGACCATCACAGTGGCCGGTGAGCGTTTCCACATGGTGCAGAACGTGTCAATGGCTGTGCACCACATTGGCCGGGAGCCCACGGTGAGGTGACAGGTGTGGGTATATGGGGGCAAGGGCGTAGACATAAGGGGATGGGGTAGATAGGAGTGAGGGATAGGATAGGTGGAGGTAGACAGGGTAAGGGAGTAGACATCAGGAGATAGGGTAGATGGGGGTAAGGGACAGGGTAGATGGGGATAAAGGATGGGAGTAGATGGAGTACGTGGGGGTGAGGTGGGCCTGTGCTGCTGGGGTCCTGAGTGACCCAGCTGTCTGCCACTGTGGCCTCTCTATCTCCTCGTCTCTTTCCTTCTTCTTTAACCTCACTCCCACTTCTCCACACCCACCTGTCATCCCACGCCCTGGCTCTGTAGCTCTGTAAGGTTCTCAACTCCACCCTCATCACATGCCCGTCACCCGGAGCCCTGAGCAATGCCTCAGCACCTGTAGACTTCTTCATCAACGGCAGGGCCTATGCTGATGAGGCAGTGGTGGCTGAGGAACTGCTGGACCCCTTGGAGGCTCAGCGGGGCAGCCGGTTCCGCCTGGACTACCTCCCCAACCCACAGTTCTCCACAGCCAAAAGGGAGAAGTGGATCAAGCACCACCCAGGGGAGCCACTCACCCTGGTCATCCATGTGAGCACTGGGCCCCAGGCAGTGGGTGGCAGGAAAGCGGCAGCTCAGCCAGAGACCCCACCAGCATCCCATGTGCACCCACAGAAGGAGCAGGACAGCCTGGGACTCGAGAGCCATGAGTACCACATCAAAATTGGTCAGGTGGCTTGTGATATCCAGATTGTCTCGGATAGAGTCATCCATTGCTCCGTCAACGAATCGCTGGGCAGGGCCGAGGGGCAGTTGCCCATCACGGTGAGTGAGTGGGGCTCTGCAGGTAGGCAGGCCCAGCTCCTTGTGCAAAAGTCACTGAGTGTTTTCATGGTCAGTAGCTCAGGCCAGCAAAGTGGAGCTTTACACCCCCACTTGGCAGATGGGGAGGCAGAGGCCCAAGGACAGTGATGGGTTCCAGCAGTCATAAGAAGCTGCCCATGTCCCTCTTGGTCTTCCATGTGAAGTGAGGGCTGCCAGTCATTGCGTAGAGTTGTGGAGTGGAGCAGAGATGGCCCAGAGGGTGAGGGCCTTGCTGTACTGCCCCTGCTTGCATCCCCCCAAGATGGGGAGCTCACCCCTTCTAGGCAGTGAGTGCCAGTCCAAAATGACCCCAACCCTGCTCTGAGTCTTCACCCCTCACTTCTCTCAGGATAGCAAGCAGCCAGACCCCGTGAGCTGTGCTGTGGTCTCTCCCAAACTGTGGTCATCACAGCTCTGTATTGAGTCTGTCTCTGTGCTATGCTGCCCAGTTCCCTGTTTGACAGGCACCATCACATTGGCCAAGAGGTTGCTATGGTTATTATTGGTCGGTTATCGCTGAGGCACAGAGAGGTTAGGTCACTTGCTTGAGGGCACACAGCTAGTGAGAAGATTCAGGGCATAACTCCAGCAAAGCCTGATGCTTGCCCCCTCCCCTCACCCCACCACCCGGCTGTGTGCAGATCCAGGTGGGGAACTTCAACCAGACCATTGCCACGCTGCAGCTGGGGGGCAGCGAGCCAGCCATTGTGGTATCTATTGTCATCTGCAGCGTCCTCTTGCTGCTCTCTGTGGTCGGTAAGGAGCCCGTGATTGGGAGAGTTGGTGGGTAGGCCTCAGTTCTTATGAGAGTGGCTGGGAAGGTTTTGAGGGAAGGTGTGGGCACAATTAAGTATGCTGAGGTGGTACAGGTGGCTGGTGCTGGCTGGATCTGCTGGGCCCAGGTCATTGGCTTTGGATGCCAGGCAGAAGAATTTGGACCTGTTCTTTAGGCAATAGTAAATGGCCAAAGGGACTGGAGGGAGGTTGCCCTAGGAAGGTGAGCCTCTGTGTTTAAATGATGGTTACAAAGTAATACATTCGATTTAGCAGAGAAAGTGGGAACCCACACTGCTGGAGGGACAAATGTATACTGACTTTGGGAATTCCTCAAAAATGTTAGGCATAGATTTACCATATGGCTCAGCCTGCCCACTCCTGGGTATCTACCCAAAAGAAATGAAAACATGTCCACAGAAAAACTTGTACACAGACATTCATAGCAACATTATTTATAATAAGAGGTCTAAACAGCTCAAGTGGTAACCAACTGATAAGTAAATAAAACACGTTGTGTTTATACAATGGAGAATTATTCAGCAATGAAAAGGAATGAAGTCCTGATACATTCCACAACATAGATAGGCCTTAAAAACATGGTAGATAGCTGGGCGTGGTGGCACAAGCCTTTAATCCCAGCACTCAGGAGGCAGAGACAGGCGGATCTGTGAGTTCAAGGCCAGCCTGGTCTACCCTAGGAAGGTGAGCCTCTGTGTTTAAATGATGGTTACAAAGTAATACATTCGATTTAGCAGAGAAAGTGGGAACCCACACTGCTGGAGGGACAAATGTATACTGACTTTGGGAATTCCTCAAAAATGTTAGGCATAGATTTACCATATGGCTCAGCCTGCCCACTCCTGGGTATCTACCCAAAAGAAATGAAAACATGTCCACAGAAAAACTTGTACACAGACATTCATAGCAACATTATTTATAATAAGAGGTCTAAACAGCTCAAGTGGTAACCAACTGATAAGTAAATAAAACACGTTGTGTTTATACAATGGAGAATTATTCAGCAATGAAAAGGAATGAAGTCCTGATACATTCCACAACATAGATAGGCCTTAAAAACATGGTAGATAGCTGGGCGTGGTGGCACAAGCCTTTAATCCCAGCACTCAGGAGGCAGAGACAGGCGGATCTGTGAGTTCAAGGCCAGCCTGGTCTACATAGTGAGTTCCAGGCCAGCTGGGGCTACTGGGAGACCCTGTCTCAGAAAACGCCAAAGGTGGGAAAAAAACAATCATGTACTCTGATTGCTTTTATATGAAGTGGAATAGGTCAATTCACAGAGGCAAAATAATTAATGGTAGTGGGAGAGGGTGGACAGGAAATGGGGAACAGCTGCTTACTGGGTAAGGGTCTCGTGGGACAGGGTATTCTAAGATTAGACAATGGAGATGGTCATACAGCATGTGAAGGAGCTTCTGGATGGATGGGTTATATGTTCATTTTATCTTAAGGATTTTGTTGTTGTTGTTATGTGCAGGTAGGTGCCAGAGGTCAAGCTCTGGTGTCAGTCCTCAGGAGCTGTCACCTTGTGTTTTGAGACAGGGTCTCTCACTGGGACCTGGGGCTTGCTAATTCAGCTGGCCAGTGAGCCCCAGGGATCCACCTGTCTCTGCTTCCCCAGCACTGGCTTTTCTACATGGGTGTTGGGGATCACACTCAGGTTCTCATGCTGGTTCAACAAACACTTTACCAAATGAACCATTTCCCAGCTCCATGTTTCCTTTTTCTTTTTAAAACTTAAATGGCTAGATCTAATATGAAAAAACAACCTAAGGTAAAATTGGAGGAAGATAAAACCCATCCATTATTTACACCCTGGATATTTGTGTATATTTCCTTCCAGTTTCTTTCCTAAAATACTACCTGTAATATTTCTATATTTATTGATGGAATCTACAGATTCCCACACCTGCCCTGAGAAAGGATTGTAACATATACTGCTTTCAGAAGTTTAACACACGTACACACACATGCACGCATGCAGTCATGCAGGCATACACAAACAAAAAACCAAGTCTAATTAACAACAGGTCAGTGCAAGAGACAGAAATTACCCATGATTCTTTCACCCAGAGAAAGCCTCTGGTGACTGCTCTTTTACATACACATTTCTTTTTCTAAGAAAGGACATCAAAGGTTTCCCTGCTGACTGGTCCCCAAGTACTGTGTCATCAGGGAGGGAGGGAAGAAGGGCAGAAGACACCTGTCTCCTGCTCAGCGACTCTGAGGCACATGGCCTATATACAGCAACTGCCCATAATTGCTTTCCCATGGATTCTGAGGCCTGAGCCACCCCTTTGCTGCCCACAGCCCTGTTCGTCTTCTGTACTAAGAGCCGCCGTGCTGAGCGCTACTGGCAGAAGACACTGCTGCAGATGGAGGAGATGGAGTCCCAGATCCGAGAAGAGATCCGCAAAGGTAGCTGCCAGGGCCGAGTGGGGCCTCGCAGGACCTGGTGGGATCCACTCACAACTGCTGGTCTGTCCATCAGGTTTTGCAGAGCTGCAGACAGACATGACGGATCTCACCAAGGAGCTGAACCGCAGTCAAGGCATTCCCTTCCTGGAGTATAAACACTTTGTGACCCGCACCTTCTTCCCCAAGGTCAGACTGAGCCTACTCTCCAGCCCCTGCTGGCCTCTGTGGGGAACTTGACCCTAGGCATCTTTTAGAGCACACACCCCTCAGCAGTGTGAAACCTGTATTCTTTTCCACAGCCATCCTGGCTTTGCCTACTATTTTCTTTCTTTGCTTACTTGATGTTTGACTCTGTATGAAAGCTGACTGCCCATGCCCCCCTCCACTCCAATACTGGACCTGTCTTTCCTCTCACTGAGAGCCCACTACTGTGCCTCACCATGAGGGAGCCCTGGGGACATCCTCCTGCTCCCTGGTGTCCCCAGCTACCACATGGGTTGATTCCCACCCATGATTGGCACCCCTCTCTGCATGGGGCACTCCCATGTGCTAGCCAAGCTGAGGTACTGGGTCCTACTTTGCAGTGCTCGTCCCTCTATGAAGAGCGGTATGTGCTGCCCTCTCAAACCCTCAACTCCCAGGGTGGCTCCCCACCACAGGAGACCCACCCGTTGCTTGGAGAGTGGAATGTGAGTACCCTACCCTGCCAGCCACATGATACCAGTCACTAGAAGGTAGTGAGCCCTCCATCTTGAGCAGGATCCAAGCAGCTATGGTGGGTGGTATATCACTGACCCCTTAGGCCAGGGAGAGGGTTGAATGCCATGCCACCTGCTGCTTACAGAATAGAAAATGAGACCCTGCAAACTACACAATTGGATGCTGTGTTCCCTCCAGGGCCCCCTTGTCACTTTACTGAGCCACTTCTCCCAGCCAGGGCATGTACCAGTAGCAGGTAGTGAGGTCCACATCTCAGGAGGCAAGCAAGCAACCATCAGGGGCACTAGGCCTCCTTGGGACCCTCATCAGTAGGCACTTCCCTCTACAGATCCCTGAGCACTGCCGGCCCAACATGGAGGAGGGGATCAGCCTGTTCTCATCTCTGCTCAACAATAAACACTTCCTCATTGTCTTCGTCCATGCACTGGAACAGCAGAAGGACTTTGCAGTGCGTGACAGGTCAGTTTGCAAGTGTTGCAGGGACAGGGAGCCATGTCCCCTGGACATGGCATCACCTAGCATCAATCAGATCCCAGGCTCCCAGATGCCTGGACAATCCTTCCTGCCCCATGTAGGCCCCCAGTGTGGGGAAAGGGGTTTCTGTCCAGCCTTCTCCAGCAGCCACCATCAAGGGCCAACCCCATCCAGTGAGGATGAGGCTTGGCTGGGCTGACCTGATTCCCCATCACCTGCAGGTGCAGCCTGGCATCACTATTGACCATCGCGCTACACGGCAAGCTGGAATACTACACAAGCATCATGAAGGAGCTGCTGGTGGACCTCATCGATGCCTCAGCTGCCAAGAACCCCAAGCTCATGCTGCGGCGCACTGAGTCTGTGGTGGAAAAGATGCTCACCAACTGGATGTCCATCTGCATGTACGGCTGCCTGAGGGTGAGGCCTGGCCCCTACCAGGAAGCTCTGCCCTAAGCAAACCTGACTTTATCAAGGCCCCAGGTGGAATCTGGTCCATAGGACCCCTTTGCACATATGAGGAAACTGAGGCTCAGAGAAGGTCTGGCTGGCCTGCCACAGGACGCACAGGATGCTGGGGTCTTGTCCTATAGCCTTAGTCCTCAAGCCTCACCCCTGCCAGAGGTGGAGGGTCTTTGCGGGGTTCTTAGGGAGGGATACGGAAATAAAAATCAAGTGTTGAGCAACCCCTGCATAGAACAGAGCTCAGCCCAATCACCTGGAGGCTAAAGGGGCTTCCTGGAACAGGTGGTCCATTCTGAGCTAAGAGAGTTCAGTGGGAAGGGGCCACTGGGACAGGGCTAGGAGGGCAGTCCAGGCACTGTATAGCATGGGCAAAGGTTGTGAGGAGGGAACAATCACAAACTGAGCTTTAGGCAGGTAAGGGCCTCACTCTGGGAATATAGGGAGCCAAGCAGTCATGATTTCCCAAAGCACAGCCTGGGGGAGGGAGGTCTGTCCCAGGATCCAGCTGCACCATGATGTCAGAGGGTCACCTGGAATCTTATGAGAAAGGCCTGGATACAGTTCAGAACCAGAGCACTAATTGTTCTGGGCTTGAGACAGGTCTTTGGTACAACCTGGCTGTGTGGCTCTGGGTAAGTCTTGCCCTTGCTGGACCTTGGTTTTCTATTATCAAGTAGAGCCTCTGCCCCAGCCAAGAGCTCTGTGAAACATCCAGGGGAAAGCAGGGCGTGGGGCAGACACAGAGGCACCAGGGAGAGGCCAGTGGAGCACACTGCCTCATTCTGGACCATCAGGGACCATAGGGGCCGTGGTGGACTCTAGACCCAGATTCCCTGGCCACTGAGGGTGGCCTCAGTCAGGCCTTCTTTAGAGAATGGGGTGCTAATGGCTTCCAGGCCAGACCATTGGAGTAGGAAGCAGGGCGGTTTCCAAAACTGCCTGATGCTATTATGTTCTTAATTTTCCCTCCAAACCTACTCACTGTCTGTAGTTCAGTGTTCTCTATCCATAGCTGGCTGGGTGCTTGCCCTGTAACCAAGAGAGAGGTCAGTTCAAGACTGCCATGGAAGTGGTAGTTTCTCTCTGATCTGGTACAGATGATTAAACCAGGATGGCAGGAGGCAGGGTGAGGCGTGGTTTGGTCAACACTCCCCAGAGGCATCCATCAGGCTGACTTGGGTTCCTAGAGGCCTTTTCTGGGAACTGGTTCTCCTTAACCTTCCCTGGGGAGGGTCAAGCTTCCTCATGCACAGGAGCCCAATGGTTTAGGGTTCAAGTCCTAGCAAGTTCTACCTGCTGGGCAGGATGCTTGCCCTCTCTGAGCTTCAGTGAGGATGGTTGTTCCATGGATGGTGGCTGAGATGCAGTGGAGAGACCATGGAAAGTGGCTTGATGTCAGCATCTACAAGAGGCTGTGACGAGGCACCAGAGAGGGCCTGGGAAAGGGAAGTGAAGGTGCTCTGAGTGGGACACCAGCAGGCCAGGACTTTGAGGCTGGAAAACAGAGTGGGGCAGTGAGATAAGGCCCTGACCCCAACCCTGGTGCCCACAGGAGACAGTGGGTGAGCCCTTCTTCCTGTTGCTGTGTGCCATCAAGCAGCAGATCAACAAGGGCTCCATTGACGCCATCACGGGCAAGGCCCGCTACACACTCAATGAGGAGTGGCTGCTGAGGGAGAACATCGAGGCCAAGCCCCGGGTGAGCCTGGCAGGGATGGGAGAGGGCAGTGGGCCTGTGGTCCAGGCTAGCACATCCTGGCCTCCAACCTTGACCAATCCTCCAAGCCTGGTCACCAGACCTATATGGTGATGGCCCCGACTGACCTCTGCGTCCCGCCCTCTCTCACAGAACCTGAATGTGAGCTTCCAGGGCTGTGGTATGGATTCACTGAGTGTAAGAGCCATGGACACTGATACGCTGACGCAGGTGAAGGAGAAGATCCTGGAAGCTTTCTGCAAGAATGTACCCTACTCGCAGTGGCCACGGGCAGAGGACGTGGACCTTGGTGGGCAGGGGCAGGCACAGTGCCCCATGTAGCCTCCTTTCTTTGTGTTAGTCAAGTCCCTGGGATACCCATAAGTATAGAGCCCATGTTCTACACTGTGAGCAGCTGTGGGCAAGAAAAAAAAATCAAGAAAGGCTTCTTGAAGGAGGGGGCTGAAAATGGGTTTTGAAGGATGTATTGGAGTCATGGTCAGACCTCTTACCAGAGGCTGTTAGCTCCTAAAATTCACACTGCACCAGGCTCTACCCTAAGCTCTGGGTAGTTTAGGTGAACAACGGGGTACAGACATTGTCCGTGCAGAACAGAACAGGGAACACCAGGTGGCCAGACAGGTGCTTTGTCCCCTGGAAGACAGAAGTGGGCACTCAGACTTTATCCTGAGGCCAGTGGGAGCCATGGAAGATGTGTGGCTCCTTTCACACAATTCATTAACAAGCCTAGAGAGGAGGGATCCTGGAGCTGGCTCTAGCATATTCCCTCTGTACCATGCCCTCCTCACCCTCCCGGCCCTCCTCCCTTTAGAGATGTGTCCTGCCGTGGTTCCAGAGGGAGAACAGGAGTCTTCTCCCCCTGTGGCTGCCCTAGGGCTTGCTTCCCACCCTGGCCCTTACGCCTCTCTTCTCTCCCAGAGTGGTTTGCCTCAAGCACACAGAGCTTCGTCTTGCGGGACCTGGATGACACCTCAGTGGTGGAGGATGGTCGTAAGAAGCTCAACACATTGGCTCACTACAAGGTGTGCCCTGGCCCCACCTGACCCTACCACCCCTCCTCTCGGACCTCTGACCTTATCCTCTCCCCTCTATCAGATTCCCGAGGGTGCCTCCCTGGCCATGAGCCTCTCAGACAAGAAGGACAACACACTGGGCAGAGGTAGGACATGTGAAATGTGGGGGTTGGCATCCAGTCTGGGTATGAGAGAATTACCTTCCCCAGCCCCTTCTGAGCAGTACTGAGGGTAACCGAGGCTCTGTGGGTTGGTCAGGGATGTGCTCTGGGCCAGCCTCCTCTGCTGCTACACCAGAGCTGATTGCTTCAGGCAGCTGGAACAAGGCCCCAAGAGGCCAGACATGCTTCCAAGAGGCCTGGGCCAAAGCCAAGTCAGGGCCGATGTGGCCCTTAGGCTCTGGGCCACATGCCAGTCCGTGCCCTCACATGCCTCAGGTCCACTGCCTGGCCTGGAAGCCCCAGCTCCTTGGAAGTCCTGGGGTTCTTCCTGAAGAGATCTTGGCTGAGCTAGATCTTGGCTGTAGGGCAGCCTGTTGTCGCTGCTCTTGGGGGCCAGGGGCTCTCTCTCCGCTTCACAACTTACTTTCTGAGCGTCTTTGTCTCTGCTTGACTCAGGATCTCCCTGTTCTCCCTTGTTTGTTTTTCATGTGTGGTGTTTCTCTTTCAGTGAAAGACTTGGACACTGAGAAGTATTTCCATTTGGTGAGTGCCTAGCCCCAGGCCCCGGGGAGCCAGCTTTCCTGGGTGTGGCTTTGGCTTTCTGCTGCCTGGGCTTAGGGAAAGTGCTCCCAGACCCTGGGAAAGGCCAGGGTGAGGGTGCAGGGGTGGGCCCAGCATCCGACAGAAGCAGCTATACCCGTGGGCAGAGCCAGTTGCCCAAGAACACAGTGAAGACTTCCATGGAAGGCTGAGGAGGGCGCCTCATACAGGCACCAACCAACCCTATCCACCTCACAGGTACTGCCTACTGATGAGCTGGCGGAACCCAAGAAGTCCCACCGGCAGAGCCACCGCAAGAAGGTGTTACCAGAGATCTACCTGACTCGCCTGCTGTCAACCAAGGTGGGCCTGGCCTCAATCTTTGCTCTTGTGGGGGCTCAGGACAGCCCATGCTCTGGGGAGAAGACAGTGTATTCTTCCTGCCTACCCATGGGCAGTAGAGGATGCAGAGGGCTGTAATATCCCAGGTCTCATGACTAGGATGGCACCCCAGAGCCCACATTCTGACCCCAATTCCCTACTCTATGCCTCAGGATCTTGCTGAGCCCCCATCTCTCACTGGTCCACCTCAGACAAGCATCCTGAGGCCTGCCAGGCATGGTGGTATATACCTTTAATCCCAGCACTCAAGAGGCAGAGCCTGGTGGATTTGTGAGATCTCAGTGAGATCAAGGCCAGCCTGGTCTACATAGTAGAGTTCTAGGCCAGCTG